ATGCTGCTGCCCATCTTCTGTCTCAGGTTTCCTCTGTCGCCTCTTACGACACCCACGGGAAGATATGGGGTAGTGAGTATTCTTACCCGCCACTACCCGGGAATAAGAAATCAGACGTAATAATAAACGCCTAGACGCATGTATTGTATCAGCTTTTTGCGTTTTACAATGCGGCTGATAATGCTGAATTTTAAGTACCATGTATTACAAAACAAACAAATGTAGCGGGTTGTCTTTAATAATAATAATTATAACAATTTTATTACTTAAAACAATACAGTTTAAACTAAATGGTGACAGGGGGGACAGGGGGATTTTTAAGCTATGGAGCCTGTGACAGGGACAGTGGCGGCGAAGCTAGGGCTCCAAACTAGGGCGTGCGTGCGTGAATGTGCACTAGCCATATGACTGAAATACACTCTACAATAATGTGGATATTCTATTTTACTTTGTCTACTAAAGCTTCTGTTTCCTCATAGTTTTATGTTTCTAACCATTTTTCCAAAAGCCTTTTATATGCAAGGTATGTTTTACCATATATATTTAGGTATTTGTTAATACTTTTTATAAAGATACGCCGAACGAGCAATATACTGCATGTAGCAAAAGTAGTGTTTGATTTCGGGACATCTATTATTATCTGCCTTCTTTTTGTATCCTTAACTGGATCATATATAATAGTTTTATCCTTTATGAGGATGGTTTGTGATATATATATATAGTTTCCTAACTGAAAGGAGTCGACTACTTTGGTATAGTTTCTCAGTCGAGAATCTTCGCTCTTTGAAATACAAAAGTATTGACTGTACCAGAGATATATAAATATCCCTGAGAAGACTCCTCTTCATATCTCCTGGCTTTGTATCTGCTCTTGGCACTACATGTTGCAATGTCTTGAAAATCCATGTAAGTTTTCTTATTATTTGCGTCACGTGTTCAAGACGTGTGTACCAAGACAGTCTTTGGTCTAATAATTTTATTTATTTATTTTTTTTTTTATTTAATAACAACCTTTTTTACATATATTCATTGATTCCCTGGTCCCTGAGCTAGTATAACTGTGTTTCAGGAACCAGTTCCTCCCCTTAAAGTTAGCCTTGTTAAAAGGTCAATTTCTATATAATAATAATAATTTAATTATTTAGCAAGTAAAGAAATATAAATAAGAAATTTAAAAAAAAATGTTATTTTAAGCGCTTGTTTTGTGTGTGTGTGTGTGTGTGTGTGTGTGTGTGTGTGCGCGTGTGTGTATTTGTTCGTGTGTTGATGTGTGTGTAAGTGTGAGTGGGTGTGTGTGTGTGTTGGAATATATTATGTGTGTGAGTATTGCTTGTGGTAAACCTACGGCATAAGTGCTTCTGTGCTGTCATAATCAAGATTCTCTAACCACACTCTGATCCTTGCCTTTATTTGGTGGTTACTGTAATTATTTAAGTTTAATTTAAATTCCCTGTATAACTTATTGTACAAATGCGGGGCAATGTAACTATAGTGTCTTTTCGCAAAAATACTTCTTGTTCTAGGGGTCGGGTATTTGAATGTCCTTTTCTTTTGAATTTTGATACATGGTGCAGTTATACGATGGTACCTTCGTATGCATTGATAGATAAAAAGTTTTCTTACGCTTAGTACTCGGGCTTTTTCATACACTAGTGTAGTTGGATAACGAAATGGAAGCAATAGCATTACTTTTAAAATACATCGTTGGGCAAGTTCAGCTTCGACGAGAATTGTCTTACAAGCCCCGCCCCATGAACAGATACCGTAACATATTAAAGACTCACAGAGAGTCCTGTAAGTTTGCAACAATAACTTTGGACTTGCTACAAGCCTTAGTAACTTAAAAACATAGACAAGCTTTCTTATCTTTTTACTAAGTGATATTATTTGATGTTTCCACTGAAGCTTTTCGTCAATTATAATTCCCAAATATTTTATTGTGTTAGTTTTAGTTATGTAAGGGCAGTTACAACATATTGGAACATCATCAAGTTTGTTACATGGACTTGTATGAATCTTTAATTTAAATTTGTCATTTGGTTGACCCGCACGAGTTTTGCTGAAACAGATTAATTTTGTTTTGGTTGTATTTAGTGAAAGTAGATTATTTTCTAGCCAACAAGAAATTTTGGCCAGTCCCGCCTCAGCAACTTGTTTCACACGCTCCCAGCTCTTTGCATGAAATATTATTACGGTGTCGTCAGCATACATAGTTATATTACCGGCGTTTAATTCAATTTTAGTCATGTCATTTACGTAAGTTAAAAATAATGTCGGTCCGAGAGTACTGCCCTGTGGAACACCGTATGTACATCGCATGTCATTACTGGAATGTCCATCCACTAATGTCCATCAATAATACACTCAAGTATTTTACTTCTTCTACTTTATGCATAGTAGGACAATGGCAATTTTGTCTATCTGTTGAACTCTTACATTTATGTATGTTGACCTCAAAATGGTCAGGTTGAATGTTGTTGTTAATGCTAAAACAAACATAAATACTTTTAGCAGTGTTTAGTGTAAGAAGATTACAACATAGCCATTTTCCTATTTGCTCAAGACCCTTTTCTGCGTTCTCTTTAACCTTCTTCCAGGAATTACCAGTAAAAACAAAGTCATTGTCATCTGCGTAGGAGAATATCTTAGTGTTCTTGAATATCACGTTAAACAGATCATTTAAATATATTAAGAAAGGTGTGGGTCCAAGAACACTTCACTGAGGGACACCGAACGACACGATTGTGCTCTCACTGATATAACCTCCCAATTTGACCATCTGCTTCCTATCTGTCAAATAGTCACTAAACAGTCGAAGTTGGACTCCTCTAATACCGATCCGTTCCAGTTTGTATATAAGGATAGGACGAGAAAAAGGATCAAACTCCTTAATTGCAAATCTAAGAATTCTGTCATACATTTAGTATGGTTATCCACTTCTTTAACTACCAGCGAACTTAGTGCACAAACCACGTCTTCGGTTGATGTTCCTTGTCTAAATCCAAACGGAGAAGTAGAAGTAGATCGCTGGTAATACAGATGTATTACCAGCGGTCTACTTCTACTACTAGCGATGTACTACTTTTACCATTAAAGGCGATGTGAGCAACTACAGGCCTATATCTATAGGCCTGTAGTTGCTCACACATAACTACAGTTGCTCACATCGCCTTTATCGCCTGTCTTGTAAATAAGTCAGTAATGTAGGTAAATAATCAGTCTTTAATACCGCAACATTCGATAGCGCTCTTGCATTGTAGCTAGACATTTTGTCGTAAGGAAAGTGGACTAACAACTATTCGTTCTATAATCAGGCTAGATATTGCCTGCCGTACTTACTACTAATACTAATCTTTCTTTCTTGTAGGCTGAATTGCTTTTATGTATTTTTTTTTTATTTTTAGAAATATTGCCTATCAGATATATTTTACATATACCTTTGAGGATAGCTTCTATTACACTTATAAAACACCATATTATTTTCCAGTCGGTAAAATAGTCACCCAGTATACATGTATATATATGTATATATTCATATGTTGCTGCGAATTCCTAGCCTCTGAGCTACTAGGGCTTGTTTTGAGTCTTCGTATGGCCTACAAATAATTCTAGTAAACTTCCACTCCTGTGCTGAACATGAAAGGTTCCCGATGTATGGAGGATTTGTTTTAATCGTCACGCTTGGCATAGGATTGAGGATCGCAGAACCAGACGTGAGCACCTTTGACGCTGCTGCCCGTCGCCGGTCTGGATATTTTACATCTGAAGTAAACTAGGTGATTATACCGCCATCTGTCGGAAGCCATTAGATTTTTCTGGCAAACCAATAGTCGACTCTTACGAAACCCACGGGACAAAATGTGATGATGCCTTCTCTTATACCGCACTTACACGCCTACTTCGACTATACTGTGTGTATAACACTAGTTCTGTGTGGAATTCGAAACTGCGATTATTAGATTAATATAATTATAACATGGACAGAAGAATGATACATATGATGATGATACTTTCTCTACCATTCTTTCCCTCCAAAAATGAACATGAGAGGTATTATTTGGAGTAATTGGCTATAATACTTTATATCTAGTAACATTATTTAGTATAATTATGTAAAATATTATAATTTCTCTGTTTCTCCCTAGGTTAACTGATAGGTAATGCCATAAGGCATAAACTCCGCGCATTGTAAACCGTTTATGGTGTCGTCTTACAATAACGAAGCAATGTCTTACCATAAATAAATTGTTTAATTAGTGTGTATTTCAGAACAGTACATCACAACGCCAATTTATTTTCCAGAACCGTCCGAGAAGAAGATTAAATTAAATTCTACTGATAGTAACATAAACGTAGTACGTAAAGAAAACCTCGATTTTGAAGGCCCTACTTTTAAATCAAACCCTGAAGTGAAAAAAAATTATCAACCAATTAATGAAAAAGGAAAGTATCCTGCAAAGGTAACGAAAAAGAAAATTTTGAAACAAGAGAGTGTAAATATACTTACGAAAAAAACATCTGGGGAATCAACAAAATACATTTTTGAATGTGATGGTTGTAGCAAAATATTTTCTACAAAAGACATTCTCGCCAGACACATTTCATACAGTCATAAGACGCAAAAGAACTCTGACACCACAGCAGTTCGAACACAAGTTAAACAAACTCCAGTGGCTCAACTAACGGAAATATTTAATTGTGATATTTGCGAATTTAAAACATCACATAAACATTACATTTTGGCACATCTTAAAGCGCACGTCGCTAAACAATTGTACTGTTGTAATAATTGTGATTATGAATGTACAAAGAAAAGCACTTTGCAAGCACATATGGTAACACATACCGCAGAAAAACCTTATTCGTGTAATATCTGTGAATATATATGTAATACAAAAGGTAATTTGCAAACACATATAAAATTACACACGGGAAAAAAAATTTTTTCTTGTCATATGTGTGAATATAGATCTATTAGAAAAAGTTATTTACAAAAACATATGAAAATACATACCGGAGAAAAACCTTATTCGTGTCACATCTGTGAACATAGATTTATAACAAAAAGTCTTTTGCAAAGGCATATAAAAATACATACTGGAGAAAAACCTTATTCTTGTCATATATGTGAATATAGATGTATTAGAAATAGTCAATTGCAAATACATATAAAAATACATACCGGAGAAAAACGTTATTCGTGTCATATCTGTGAACATAGATTTATAACAAAAAGTGATTTGCAAAAGCATATGAAAGTACATATCGGAGAAAAACCTTATTCTTGTCATATCTGTGGATATAGATGTATTAGAAAAAGTCAATTGCAAATACATATAAAAATACACACAGGAGAAAAACCTTACTCGTGTCATATCTGTGAATATAGATGTATTACAAAAAGTGATTTGCAAAGGCATAAGAAAATACATACCGGAGAAAAACCTTTATTTTGTCACATATGTGAATATAGATGTATTAGAAGAAGCCATTTGCAAAATCATATGAAAATACATACCGGAGAAAAACCTTATTCGTGTCATATCTGTGAATATAGGTGTATTAGAAAAAGTCGTTTGCAATCACATATAAAAATACACACCGGAGAAAAACCTTATTCGTGTCATATATGTGAATATAGATGTATTACAAAGAGTGATTTGCGAACGCATAAGAAAATACATACCGGAGAAAAACCTTATTCATGTAATATATGTGAACATACATGTATTAGAAAAAGTCAATTGCAATCACATATAAAAATACACACCGGAGAAAAACCTTATTCGTGTCATATCTGTGAATATAGATGTAATACAAACAGTAATTTGCGAAGGCATAAGAAAATACATACCGGAGAAAAACCTTATTCGTGTAATATCTGTGAATATAGATGTATTAGAAGCAGTCAATTGCAAACACATATAAAAATACATACTGGAGAAAAACGTTATTCGTGACATATCTGTGAACATAGATTTGTTGCAAAAAGTGATTTGCAAAGCCATATGAAAACACACAGCGCAGAAAAACCTTATTCGTGTCATATCTGTAAATATAGATGTGTTAGAAAGAGTGATTTGCGAAAGCATCAGAATATACATACAGGAGAAAAACCTTATTCGTGTAATATCTGTGAATATAGATGTATTACAAAAAGTTATTTGCAAAGGCATAAGAAAATACATACCGGAGAAATACCATGTCGTAGAAATACAATGTCACATCTGTGAATATAGATGTATTAGAAGAAGAAATTTGCAAAATCATATGAAAATACATACCGGAGAAAAACCTTATTCGTGTCACATCTGTGAATATAGGTGTATTAGAAAAAGTCATTTGCAATCACATACAAAAATATACACCGGAGAAAAACCTTATTCGTGTCATATCTGTGAATATAGATGCATTACAAAGAGTGATTTGCGAAGGCATCAGAACATACATACCGGAGAGAAACCTTATTCGTATAATATCTGTGAATATACATGTATAAGAAAAAGTCAATTGCAATCACATATAAAAATACACACAGGAGAAAAACCTTAATAATAAAACCATAAAAATATCTGTGAATATAAAAATATTGAAAAAAGTCATTTGCAAAGACATATCAAAATACACGCTGTAGCAAAACCTTCTTCGTGAGCTATCTGGTAAAATATATACAGAATTATGTAAACGTGTTTTTATGAATTTCTTATGAAATTATAGAACAAGTAGAAAAAGCTTTCCGTGCCTTATGTGCTAATTGAAACTGCCTTTATTCTGAAGAAGCTAATTTAAAATCCCAAAAAACAACCAAGCAAAATCTAACCTTGAAATATGTACCTATCATTACAGCCCTTCACAAGTCCACTGCTGAACATAGGCCTCCCCCAAAGAATGCCACAAAGCACGGTCCTGAGCCACCTGCATCCATCGACTTCCTGCACATCTTACCAGGTCGTCACTCCATCTAGTGGGGGGACGCCCTACACTTCGCCTGCCGGTACGAGGCTGCTACTCGAGAACCTTTCTTCCCCATCGGTTGTCGGTTCTTCGAGCTATATGGCCGGCCTATTGCCACTTCAGCTTACTAATCCGTTGGGCTATGTCGGTCACTCTGGTTCTACTGCGGATATCCTCATTTCTGAGTTTATCACGCAGAGAAACTCCGAGCATAGCCCTCTCCATAGCTCGCTGAGCGACCTTGAGCTTCCTCATCCGGCCAGCAGTGAAGGACCACGTCTCAGTTCCGTATGTCATCACTGGCAACACGCACTGGGTGTACAGTCTCGTTTTCAAGTTTATATACCTGACGAGAAGATGTGCCGTAATTTCCCGAACGCTGCCCAACCGAGTTGAATCCGTCGATTGACCTCTCGGTCGAAGTTGGACTTACCTAGTCGGACTATTTGTCCCAGGTAAACATACTCGTCAACAACTTCGAGCTTAGTGTTCCCAACAACTACCGGCATAGGTGTGACATGGACATTAAACATGACCTTTGTTTTGTCCATGTTCATCTTAAGACCTATCCGTTGGGAAACACTATTGAGGTCATTGAGCATAGTGCTTAGGTCCTCCAGCGAATCTGCCATAAGGACTATATCGTCGGCAAATCGAAGGTGAGTGATGTACTCGCCATTGATGTAGATACCGTATCCTTTCCAGTCCAGAAGCTTGAAAACGTCTTCCAACGCAGCGGTGAAGAGTTTCGGGGATATGACGTCACCCTGTCTTACACCTCTCTGCAATTGGATAGGTTTCGTACTCTGGTTCTGTACTCGGATAGCCATCGTAGCCCTACTGTACAAGCACTTCAACACTTCGATATACCGACAGTCAACTTGGCATCGCTGAAGGGATTGCAGCACCGCCCAAATTTCGACGGAATCAAAGGCTTTCTCATAGTCCACATACGCCAGACATAGTGGCAAATTGTACTCCTCGGACTTCTGTACAATTTGCCGAAGGGTATGTATGTGGTCTATGGTGCTAAAGCCTTTTCGGAAACCGGCTTGTTCGGGAGGCTGGAAGTCGTCAAGTCTGCGCGCGAGACGATTCGTAATGACTCTCGAAAACAGCACGTAGACGCGGCTCAGAAGAGAAATCGGTCTGTAGTTCTTCAAGAGAGCGTTGTCGCCTTTCTTGAAGAACAAGACCACCGCACTTCTTCTCCACTCCTCCGGTGTAATGCCACCATAGAGGACGGAATTAAAGAGCTTCTGAAGGACTTCAAGTATCGGTTTTCCACCCGCTTTCAGAAGCTCCGCTGTAATTCCATCCTGGCCTGGGGCCTTGCCGTTTTTAAGGTGCTGGAGAGCCATTCTAATCTCGCTCAGACTGACGTCCGGGATATCATCGGAATAATGTCGGATAAGACTCGCTCTTGGATCGTTACTCACACTTGCGTGTGGCTCCAACGATGACGTGTACAGCTGCCCATAGAACCTCTCAATCTCACTCAAAATCTCAGGTGCCCCGGAAACGATGCTGCCACATTCGGTCTTCAGCTTTGACAGTTGGCTCTTTCTGGCAGACAGATCTCTGGCAGAGACTTTGGAGCCTTGGTTCCGCTCGATCGCTTCTTCAATACGAGCTGTATTAAAGTTGCGTAAGTCCCGCCGCATGCATTTGGAGATCTGTCTGTTCAGTTGCCTGTATGCTGTCAAATCTGTTGAAGAATGTAGCTTCATCTCCCGTCTAACAGCCATGAGATTAAGAGTGTGATCGGAGAGTTTTTGTGTTCTTCTGCGGCGGGTCTTGCAGAACTTAGCTCCGACCGCATGGACAGTTTCCACGAGCTTGTCATTCAAATCGTCCACTTCATTGCAGTCTTCTAGGCACTGAAAACGGTTTTGCAACTCGAGCTGAAAGGTTTCGGGACTTTGGATTAGAGCACGAGGGGGACGGAGCGTTGACTTCATTAGACGAGACCTCTCCAACTTAACGTTTAGGTTCAGTGTGCCTCTAACCATTCGGTGATCGCTGCCGGTTTTCACCCTCGCGATCACTGAGACATCACTGAACAGTTGTCGTCTGGTCGTCATAATGAAGTTAATCTCATTTTTTGTCGAACCGTCGGGGCTCGACCAGGTCCACTTCCTGTGGGGCCGCTTCTGGAAGAAAGAGTTCATCATAAAGAGTCCCTCTTTCTCCATGAAGTCGGCCCACTGCTGGCCCCTTGGGTTCCGTTGCCCTATTCCAAATTTCCCCACTTTCAGCTCACCGTTCTCTCTTGTGCCTAGTTTTGCATTGAAGTCTCCCATTAACACCGTATATTGGGTTTTGGAGGAATGCATGGCTCTAGAGATATCCTCATACATTTCCTCCACCTCCTGATCGGGGTGTGCCGAGGTTGGTGCGTAAACCTGTATGACCTTCAGCGAATACCGTTTGGTGATTCTGAGTATAAGGTACGCAACCCTCGTCGACACACTCTCAATCTTTACAACGTTGTTAACGAGAGACTTGTGGACGATAAATCCGACACCTCCTTGGGACAGATGGTCGCCCTCCCGGTAATAGAGCAAGTTGCCGGATTCGAGGATTACCGTGTCCTCCCCCTCTCTTCGGACTTCGGATAATCCTATAATATGCCAGCGTAACTTGTCTATCTCTTCTTCCAGCTCCACAATCTTCTCGTCAGTCCTCAGGGTGCGTGCGTTGTATGTTGCCAGGTCGAGTCGTTGTAGGTGGCAACCGAACCTCCACCGGAGATTCTTAGCACCCCCTGCCCCGCCGTTACCATGGTCGCCACCGTAGCCAGGAATAGCGGGGCCGCCGGGGACTGGGGGCCGTCTCTTCGTAACTTTCATTATGGGGGGTATATTGCCATAGTTGCCACGCTTGGCGAGCGGGTTGGCAACCGCAGTTTTTTATTGTATTTTTGCCGTTACCAGGAAGATGCTGCTGCCCATCTCCTGCCTGTTTCCCTTTGTCGCCTTTTACGACACCCACGGGAAGATATGGGGTAGTGGATATTCTTAACCGCCACTACACGGAAATATGTACCTAATGGGAGGTCAATGGAAACAGACCAGAACTTTATGTTTTTTTTTGTAATTTAAATGATAGCTTATGTTTTTCTTTTCGAAGTTTATCGTTACCGTTACAGCCTATAAAAGTCAGCCGAACATAGGCGTTCCCCATGGATTGCTGCATAGGAGAGATATTTACCATAGTTGCCATGCAGGATAGTTGGCAACCACGGTTTTTTGTTATTTTCAGTTAAAATCAGGGACACCCACGAGACGATATGGGGTAGTGGATATCCTTATAGTGGGTCGCTCGACAATATAGTGGATTGCTTTGGTTATATTCTGTGACCTATCCAAAGCCTTCGATTGTGTTCACCATGAAACATTTTTACGTGGTAGAGCCATGCTGCAGCTATATTTCTGGTATAGTTGTAACACGAATGGGTCGGCTCGACCGGGGAAGGACCACGCTCTCACAGAATGCCAGCGTAAAATAGCAGCTTAATTCTGCTGTGTTTCGTATGGTGAGTGTAGAGAACCGGAGACCCTTTTTACTGGAAAAGAGGCATTCTATCTTAGTCCTCACGGCTGGCATCTGCATTTAATTCACAAACGAAGATAGATGTAGATGTCTATGGGCCACAGCAATCACTTACCATCAGGTAAACTGTGTGCTCTTTTATCACCCTAATTCTATAAAAAGAAAGATAGGAAGCAGATGGTCGAATTGGGAGATTATATCAGTGAGAGCACAAACGTGTCGTTCGGTGTCCCTCAGGGAAGTGTTCTTGGACCCACACCTTTTAATGCCAAGAGCGATAGAAAGAGATACAAAGCCAGGAGATAAGAATAGAAGACTTCTCAGGGATATTTATATATCTCTGGTACAGTCAATACTTTTGTTTTTCAAAGAGCGAAGATTCTCGACTGAGAAACTATACCAAAGTAGTCGACTACTTTCAGTTAGGAAACTATATATATATATATATATATATCACAAACCATCCTCATAAAGGATAAAACTATTATATATGATCCAGTTAAGGATACAAAAAGAAGGCAGATAATAATAGATGTCCCGAAATCAAACACTACTTTTGCTACCATGCAGTATATTGCCCGTTCGGCGTATCTTTATAAAAAGTATTAACAAATACCTAAATATATATGGTAAAACATACCTTGCATGTAAAAGGCTTTTGCAAAAATGGTTAGAAACATAAAAACTATGAGGAAACAGAATCTTTAGTAGACAAAATAAAATAGAATATCCACATTATTGTAGTATATTTCAGTCATATGGCTAGTGCACATTCACAAACACTACACACGAGTCGATACATTTGATTACATTATCTGTCAAATAGTCACTAAACAGTTGAAGTGGGGCTCCTCTAATACCGATCCGTTCCAGTTTGTGTATAAGGATAGGACGAGAAACAGGATCTGTACGAGTAAACCCGTACATTTTTATATGTTAGCGTAATTGGAGCGCGAACTCGTGTTTGACGTCATTATAATGCATTGTACATATTATGCTTTCTTTTATAATAAATTCAGTACCATTCGCAAGGCATTACAGTT